GAGTGATATTATCCAGCTCCCCAGTCTGATTCAGCCCAGCAAATGCCTGCACAAGATTAAAAAAATATGATAATAACTAAAAGATGCAGTTTCATGAAGTAAAAGTTTGTTTTTAGACGATTCTGAATGCTAGTAAAGGTCGAGAAGCATGTAATACTGTGCAGGAAAATAAAAAAATGTATGGAACTAGATATTTAGAAGAAAGACACTTTCAGTAGTTTTAGCCTTCATATTTGATATTTCTTAACTAGCAGCCATCTGATAAAAAGTAAAGATGTGCTAAAAAATGACTCGGTTATGAAAAATGAATTCTGAAGTGATTCAAACAATTAATAGTCAGGAGGAAAAAGAGAAGCCTTGATAACTACATACAATATTTGATCATAAGATGAGGAAGATCTTTTAGCATCGGACGTGGCATTTTCAAGTTATAGAGGAAATTAAGAGGAAGAAAAAACACTTTACCCGAGTACTGTATACGACTGGCTCTTGAATAAAGCCATATGAATGTCTAATAATTAAGGGTTCACTAAACTCAATAAAACTTAATAAAAAATGGAGTTTTCAATAATTCTCAATTTCTTTTCTCAGTTATACAATTTAAATTTTTTTACAAATCCATATAAAGTTTTTTTTTTTAAATTTGCAGTTCAGTAACATTAACAGGTCAACAATAGTGCTGTAACTGTCCACTAGCAATATAAACATTCCTCTAAGTAAGCTTAGTAAGGTATAAACAATGAAGGTTTGAAGCCAACTGAATGAGTAATTCACAAATTATCGCCTAAAAACAAATACGCATTTCAATTTTCTCAATTTCAATAAAATTGACAAAATGGTACTTCACAACCTAAGATCAATCTAAATGTGGCTCTAATTAAGATATACCAGTGCTTAGAATTTGAAGCTGATCACAAGAAGCATTCTCTAATTATCACATGAAAACCAATTCAATAAAACTGTCAGATTATAACTTACAAAGTCCAAAATATTTATATGATCTTTCTTTGGACAAAATCCACCACTGCTGAAAGTTAAAAGCTGTTTGGTTTGTAAATATGTATTTACACTTACTAGGTACTATCCTATCCATACAATGCATCGACCATTAAAATTTGACGCCATTCAGAAGAGGCATAAGAGGGTTATTTAATATAAAAAAAAAAATACCACTCTTTCCAATAATAATCCAAACCTTATAAGTAGGATATATATTTGTTGAAAGTTTGAAGCCAATCACAAGAGGCTTTCTCAAGTTATTATAAGGATTTCAAGGAACCAGGAATGGTCAAAATTTGCAAATCACAAGAGAAAATGCGAGATAAAATATGGAATTGGAGTGCAATAATTCACAAAAAGAGGTAAAAAAAAAACTACTAGGTTATCTATTCTTGATCATTAAAAGAAGTTAAGTAGCATAAAAATGAAAAATGGTAAAGCTGCCAGTACTATAAGAGGAGCAAGGGAAACCCCATTGAACTATTCCTGTCAAACTGGAAAGAGCTGTGAAAATTATGAAAAAAAAGTCATTGTAAATTGTACACGATAGAAATAATCTGACCTGGAATTCCATGATAGAGTTTCGAACCGTATCTCCGGAAATGAGGGCCCCTGATTGTGGATTAGTGACAGCTGGATCCATGTATCCAAACTTGGTCAAGTAAATCTGTGGACAGACAAGCATTATTAATATGACTTTGTCTAAAAAATATTTAGTTGCTAATAATGTATTAATCTAAGTAAGCCAGACTTATGCAGCAAGTAGCTGTCATTATAAAAAAAAAATAGTTTTTGAGTAAAACTGATACGTAAGAAATATCATTGTGCCTGTCATACCATATTTTAAGTTTACAGAAAAAAAATTGTATTTGTAATCCATTCATTAGCTTACAGATAACTCTTGATATAAAAGTTAGTTGATGTAGAAGTATCAACCCTTTACGACTGAAATAATAAAAAAAAATTTATTTCCTTGCTAAGGTTACAATGTGTTTACATTTCATAATTTGACTGGTAAAAAAAAAAAAAGTATCTTACCGAGGCATTTCGGGCAGACTTAAATACTAGTCTGTAAGTGTTAGGTTAAGTCTAGACAGGTGAAGAGTGGCTGAATACAAATATTCAATATTTTATTCAATTATTAATCCCTAACAAAGGTATTAAGTAAGCTCTCAGCATATATACAATGACGTCCATCATGAATAATTCTGCCTTGCTTTACCAGGTAGGTGATTATTATTTATTATTATAATCATGGGGGAAGCGCTAAACCCGGAGGATTATATAGCGCCTTGGGGGGATGTGGAAGGCATTCAGGCTTAATTCGGGGAACTGGAGCACAGATCCAATTCCCTAAATCAAGAGCCCCTCACCAACATCAAGGAACCTTCCTTGAGGGGACCAGGTAGGTGAACAACCACAGTCACCCACGAAACACTACAGTTTTAAAGTAATTTATGAAGCCTAAAACAATATCATGTAATCATATTATCGATTAAAATGTAAACTCCTCATTGTATTATAAAAATGCCTCTCGATTACATAATTAAAGTAGTAGTAATAATAATATAATAATAAATCACAGAATATATACACCAAGAGGTTTATGTTTCTCAGTGTATATACACTGAGAGTTTAGTTTAATTCCTATATTAGGGATTAAAGTATTCTTGAATAGTGGTAAACAGGTTACACACATCCTTAATGACCCTCGTGTATTCGACAGGTTTAAAACTCCATTAACAATTCACCATTAATAATAATAATAATAATAATAATAATAATAATAATAATAATAATAATAATAAACCCTCAGTCTCCAACCTCCTTGCTGTGAAATTCTGAGATCATGTTTGACCATACTATATACCACTACTATATACTCAGAATTTATAAATGCAAACTAATAATTGTGACATAAAACCTAATGGTGTATGTTGCCTCGGAAAATCACTCAAGGCAGTTTATGAAGAACCTCTGTACATCACAGAGTCAGAGGCAGACAGACTGTAAATGAGATTTCTTAGTCACTTGACTACGTCAACTGATTTACAGGTTTCAGCCACATTGGGTGTCATGCACAATCTTGTATTGAAAAGTTACGTGATAATCTCATGATTTACATCATTACCTAAAGAACACCATCTCTGTACACTGGAAAGGCTGTGAAAGCCTACAAGTCTGCTTGTTATAATTTTGTTCTACCTGCCCCAGTACATGGGGCTAGTAGAACAGAACTATACAAGCAGACCTAATAGTTACAGGAATATATATATTCCTGTAACTATTCGTAGGTTCACTTGTCAGGGTTGTGTTCAGCAACATCGAGAAGTTGTTCTACTGTTCATGTTCCTTGTGCTCTACACAAGCCTTCACAATATATTCAAGCATTGTTCCGACTTACGTATCACATACGTATATATATAGTACCATAGCATTAGAGTACACATTGTTATTATAAAGAACTATGTTTCCTCTTCCTTAATCCAGGAGGTATTCTAGTGAAAATCGTATGGTTTTTCAAGTCTTTCAAGGCCAAGAGATTATCCATACGGACATAACTGTGATGTACTACTAGCACTAGGCGTACGAAGACAAAATGAAAAAAAGTGGTGGGATGCAAATCTGTCTTAAGAAATGACGTCACAAAAGAGCTCAAACAATAGAGCCAACACCTGTCTTCCCTGCTTCTTCCAGAACCAACACCCGTCTTCCCTGCTTCTTCCTGAACCAACACCCGTCTTCCCTGCTTCTTCCTGAGCTAACACCTGTCTTCCCTGCTTCTTCCTGAACCAACACCTGTCTTCCCTGCTTCTTCCTGAACCAACACCTGTCTTCCCTACTTCTTCCTGAACCAACACCTGTCTTCCCTACTTCTTCCTGAACCAACACCTGTCTTCCCTGCTTCTTCCTGAACAACACCTGTCTTCCCTGCTTCTTCCTAAACCAACACCTGTCTTCCCTGCTTCTTCCTGAATCAACACCTGTCTTCCCTGCTTCTTCCTGAACCAACACCTGTCTTCCCTGCTTCTTCCTGAACCAACACCTGTCTTCCCTGCTTCTTCCTGAACCAACACCTGTCTTCCCTGCTTCTTCCTGAACCAACACCTGTCTTCCCTGCTTCTTCCTGAACCAACACCTGTCTTCCCTGCTTCTTCCTGAACCCCCTCTTTACTGCTGTGCAGTTATTTTTTTTTTTCAGAAAATTTATTCGAAGATGCTCACTGAAAAGATGTCAAGTTATTATACGAGTTTTATCTTAAAATGTAAAAAAAAAAAAAAAAAAAACTGTTCTCACTTTCTAATTAACTGTTTTTATTTATGTAACTGCTGCAGTTCAATGTTATGATGGTGAAGTTTTCTAAGCAGTTATAGATCATTAGAATTTCAAGTTTACAACGTGTATAAGTACCGGAGAATCTTGAGTTATAAATTGTGTGTTATATAAAGCCACAATATTTTTTTTCTTATTCGCCGGTATTCTCCCGGCCTGGGTCTTTTCCAATATTTGCACTTATAAAACAGCCATTTAACGTTAATGCTCTGATGTGTCTGGTAGAAGTACAATATGTTACTTTTTGACTGTTTGTTACTTTATTATACATAAAGTTAAGGCATATTTTACACATTTTATTTTGTCGTTATACTCTTATGTGTGAACCACAATGTCACTGCTACAAAAGAAAACAATGTATGTTACTGTCTCATAATCCGGGTGGTGAAAGAGGTAGCAAATGTGAGAGTTGTTTGTAATTTTAACCTCATTTTGGGATTTAAGATGAAAAATAAAAATAAAAATGGGTGGAGGCCCAGCAGGAATTAACGCAACAATCAGTAAATGTGAATGGAAGTTAGGCAAAAGAGGGGAAGAAGTCAAGATAAAAAAAAAAATCAGCTAGTATGAGGGAGGGTGAAAATGTTAAAAGTACTGGGATGTGATAAGTTTGTCGAGCAGTTATGTGTAGCAGGGAAGCAGGAGATAAAGTAGGTGATATATGTTGAACATTATTATTATTATTATTATTATTATTAACTGGGAAGCAATAAATCCATAGAGGCCATACATCTCGGGAATGAAAAGCAGTCAAGCTTGAGCCGAGGAAAGGGAGGGCAGCACCGGTTCCTTGGAGCTCTTCACCAGCATGGACACACCCCTCACCATCCTTGAGAGGTGTTTGATGTAAGCGGAAATACGAGTGGAGATAAGTTATGGGAAGAGCTAGGCGTGTGCCTCAGTTATGGGCGAGTGTGAAGAGAGGCACATGTAGCAATAAAGCCTTGTCTAGTAAGACAACGTTTAGCCCTCAGGAGAGCTTTCAACTCTCATGTCATGACTTGAAGAGTGAAAGCTTGTTTTGATACACGTGTATATATTCATTCCTGCGGCATGCACGACCTTCATCGTCTGGGTGAACGAGGAGATATACATACACGCAGTGCATAACTTGCACGTCCAGTTATTGTACTGGTGGGAAGTACAGTAGTGCCCTGCATTCTAAAGGATGGGTGAGGATATTGTAGTTAGGAGGGACATCTCCGCTGTTTTGTCGACGCACCTCTGACAAGACGGTACTGGGGTGAGTGATGGCGAAAATGTTTCTTCTTTTACGGGTTACCCTACCTCGGCGGAAGATGCAAGGTGTTATAAACAATAATTATATAATTATTAAAATTATCATTATTTTTTAACACAAGCCCCTTCCCACCGACGTAGGGTGACCCGAAAAAGAAGAAACACTTTCACCATCACTCAGTCCACCGTCTTGCCAGAAGCGTACCGACATAACAGCACAGATGTCCCTCCTAATTGCAATATCCCCACCCCTCCGTCAAAGTGCAGGCACTACTGTACTTCCCACCAGTATACTAACTGGACATGCCAGCTGTGCACTGCGGGAAAGATATAAAGTATCAACGCGAGTAAATATCTCCAGGCTCACCCTGACGATGAAGGTCTAAAAGACTAAGAGGCAGGGAAGGCCAGAAGACAGAATGGGGGCGGGAAAGGAGCAAGGAGGTGGTGTGATGCTGGCGGTGACAGTGAGCGCAGCAGTCGTAGTAAAGAGAAGTAACAGTGGTAATTGTAAAACAAGTAGTAAAGTAAGTAATTATTATTATTACAATCTAAACTAAGCGCTAAACCCACAACAAAGAGAGAATAATAGTAGGGTACGAATTAGTAAGTGGTGGAAGTGTAAAAGAACAAGAGAACAAAGAAGTACTTGCCCACAGACTTAGGGTAAGTCCCGTCATTCTAACGTTCCTCTCGTAAGTGCGGGTTTTTTGGTGAACTGCTCTACCCACACAGTATTGTGACCTTTTATTTATCTCAGAGATATGTATTTATTATTGCTGTTTATATATATATATATATATATATATATATATATATGTGTGTGTGTGTGTGTGTGTGTGTGTATTTATTATTGCTGTTCTATATAATATATATATATATATATATATATATATATATATATATATATATATATATATATATATATATATATATATATACATATATATATATATATACATATATATATACATATATACACATACATATACACACACACATACATATACACATACATATACACATACATATACACATACATATACACACATACATATACACATACATACATACATACACACATACACACATAT